AAATAACTGCTGAGCAATACATAATTAGGTGATATTTACATAAAAAGCTCTTCTCTTTTTTTTAATCAGCTTTCTCTTTGGCAGGGGGACAAATATTTGTCTCTCATTGCTAAAACATCCCACAATGCACAATACTGGTCACATCCTTACCTCCTAGGAACAACATGAGTTCTGGGGGGCGGAAAGCAAATTCATTCCCCCCTATAGAGGAATGAGGTGTATGAAACCACAATAATGACAATTTTGCAAAGTTGTTGGATATCATATTCAGTCAGGCTCAACTGTCCCCAGAGACAAACTCTTAACCCCAAGAGATGTCATGAAGGTATATGCATGTATTTGATGGCTGCGCAGCACTGCAGGAGGGCGTGCGTGCAACCTGCACACCAGCAATGTAACCTAAGGTCTCTTTACATTTGCTGCTATGCACAGGCGCTTAAATACAGCAGGAGATTTTTCTAGGTACTCGGCAATACACTTTGTGCATCTGAGTTTGGAAACTGTCTCCAACACTTCCAAATGTTTCCCAGCAAGCTCACTATAGGGAACAGTCAACACACTAAAAGAGAACTAGAACTAGATTGAAATAATTAGACATACAAGTTCTCTAATTAGATAATTTTTTTTCATTCTTCAATGCTTATTGTTATTTGCGTGTGTATAGCTGGATTACTCCCAGTTTCTATCAGCTTTTGCCCACAAAAAGCTCAGTGGTGGGGAAAAAAACTGTTCCACGCGAGATGTAAAAAATCCCTAGTGTAAATGAAGATCAGGTTTATATATTTTTTCACATATACATAAAATCCACACAGTCTGCACTACATTTACGCTTTGCATTGCATGGCAGGGCCAAGTTGAGAGCAGGCATGGACAGAGAAACCAAAACACCATCCATGATGAATTGTCAAAATTCTTCTTCTTCCAAAAGAAGGAATAGTAGCAAAGTGTCTGGCCACATGCCTTTCTACAGCTTTATAATGTATTAGATACTATCTATAACCTTCACCAAACCAATGCTTTCCCATCTGTTAATAATGAGATCCTTTCAAGACCTTACAACTGAAACTTTAAAAACCAAAGTTTAAGATCAGACCATGCACAGCTTGCTGGTCTGTTGTGTTCTGATTAGACTCACCGAGGTAGTGCTTGTATGTTCACAAGCTTCCCTCCTGGGTTATTTCTTTAGTTGTAGATTTAGATACACCACCACTGATTGCCGTGCGCTGCCCACCTCAGCACTGTTGTGTACAGCACGCAGTGATCCACTTAATATTGTTGTTAATACTGGCTTCAGGCTACAGCAAAAGGAGTGGGAATTGCCTGAAAAAAATGCCTCTTGGGTGTACAGATATGCTCTGTGTGACTTTTGCACATTTTTAAGTATGGTACTAAATAGAAGTGCTCACCAAGTATCAAAACAACGATGCACCTGGAAGCAGGTCTCAGGGTCTGTTGTTCACTGCAGGCATAGTGAACAGTTCAGTGAGGCACATTTTTAAGTATGGTACTAAATAGAAGTGCTCACCAAGTATCAAAACAACGATGCACCTGGAAGCAGGTCTCAGGGTCTGTTGTTCACTGCAGGCATATTTTATTACAGTGAGGCAACAGGTAACTGAAGTGGTTCAGACTAAAAGAGATTTGCAACACCGGACCAGGGAAGTCAGGGACGAAGAAGGTCATGAAGACCACCTCTTTTTCAACACAAGAACAATGCTGCTGGACGGAAGTCAGGGACGAAGAAGGTCATGAAGGACCTCTTTTTCAACACAAGAACAATGTTGCTGGACCGGGCTGAAAAGTTATGAGGAAAACCCAGGTCATTTTTCTGAGGCCGCTGAGGCTGCTTGGCTGTCATCATCAGAGCGCTCTATTTCATTAACTTTGCACATCTTCTGTGCTGCATAGCAGCTCTCCATTGCCCCATGTTTCACATGTATGTAAAATATATAAAGTCTATAAAAGTATAATTCTCACTGAGTACACCTAGAGGAGCCACACAATCAATGTGAAAATACATAGTTTCAGGAATTCGAAACCCAGGGAATAAAGCTGTGCGTGCTGAAAAGCTGGCAACAGTATATATTGTTGTGCCAGGAAGGTTTTTGGTGATGGGTGAGATAAAATAAGGATGGAGAAGACAGGAAAGGAAAATTCCCTATCCTGTGTGCATTTATAGAAGCACACAACCCTGTGTTGTAATCAGCTCTGTGGCAAAGGGAAGATTTTAGCAAAGGTGATGGAAACTAGGTGGCCCCTGGGTGCTAGCGAACTGAACTTTCATTCCACTTGTACAATTTTTGTTAGCTGAATTTGTTCTCTCAAACCAGTCTCCCTGATTTGCTCACCTGACTAAGCCACTGCACATTGCACTGTCGGTTAGCAGTCTTGGAATAGTCAAGCCTGCTTCAGAGTAAGGATTAAACGGCAGATCACAAGTTGTGAAGATTGAAAAAGCCTGGCATGATCAGCACCTTGAGCGATGACTAGCACGAACCAGAGCCAAACCAGTTTCTGGAATCCCAGAACACTAAGTTCAAAAGGAAAAGTTTATAATGAATTTCATTATAGTTTGACTCAAGGTAAATACTTGATTAAAGAAGACATTACAGTCTGTAAGCTCTGTAATTTTCTTCACACACACTAATCATTCCAGCTTCCTACTACACTAGTACGTATTAATTTTCAGTTTTATAGCTTTCAGTGAATTCTTAAATATCATTTACTTTTTCCTCACACGCACTATTTATTTTTATTCATACAGACATCCAACAAAAACTGAAGAAACACTGCATTATATTGTAATAGCAGTCAGACATAAACCCAGAGAGGCAAAATGTATTCCAGTAATTTAGCTTCTGTGACAAAGTGGTAAGTAGGGAAGAAATATGACCCCATGGTTAGGGTAGCAGCCTAGACTTGGAAAAACGGATTTGAGGCTCTGCTTTACCACTGATTTCCTATTTTACTTTGGGCAAGTCACTTAATTCCTGACCCTTAAACAACTTGATGTAATTTGTTATCACTTACTCTGCGTAAAGAAAGGCACCCAAATGCACCTGTAGGACCAGGCTCCCCCTACGCCTCAGCTCTCCTCCTATAAAAGGAGCGTAACAGCACGTTCCTACCTCCATGTCATGGTGTTCTTCATCGCAGAGAAGCAGAAGGGAACAAGGAGAAATTAAGTTTTCCATTTACCCCAACAACAAGCAGAGCAAACACTTCCTTCCCACAACCATCTCTCATCCATGTGCTGTGGGAGGCTGTGTCATCCCCCCGAGCTTCACAAGCCCGTGTCTTTCTGGTCATGCCAAGATCGCTAGCGAAGGTGGGAGCTAATGCTGATACTGCGCTCTGATAATTGTACTGAAATGGTCATTTATTTTACACAGAACATCAAACGGGCATTGAATGCTGATGAAGTGGTTTTTTATTACCAATCTGTGCTTCTGGGTAGGGAACCATAGATGCTAAAATATCTAAGTAGTCCAGAGCAAATTTCAACAGTTTTTGCCTTAGGGACCATCTCATAGATGATGTAATATTGCTTCAAAATTTCTATTTTTATCTTCACAAGTATAGGATCTGACCTAAAAATTTCATATGGGGATATTTATACTACCTGCAAGAGCTTGGTTTAATCAAAATGTGCGTGTATATTTCTCTGAAAGATTATCTCACATTCTGCTGGTACAACCACTGAGACACAGTTATTACACAGCACTGAAATTCCTATCGACAGCACCTCCTCAGGCACACCTAGGCAGGACACATGGAGATAGGAACTGCCTGACAGTCATTTAAAGGGTGGCAGTTTTGAAACACATTTTAGCAACACGGCAGGGGAGAAATCACAAAATGCAAGACATTTTCCCAGTTTGCTTCAGAAGTAGCGTGCTATAAAAATAACTCGGTACATCAAAGCTCTGCATTTAAAACTGCAAAAAAACCAGGTGTCCATGCTGATGTCAAGGCAGATTGGTCTAGAGAGGTAAAATCAACTTCTGAACTCCCAGCCAGATCTGCTGTCAAAAACCACGTCCAGAAACCTTTGCTGCCCACGCAACTGGCATGCTCCAGAGCTCGTGCTAGCCAGGGTCTGGATGCCCACCACCCTCTCCTGCTCTCCAGTGTCCTATCTTAGGCTTCGCAGACCCAGACGGCCCCATGGCTACTGTTAATGAAGGGGTCAATCCTTGCCATCTCTCGGCTGTTCAGTCCAGCCTCCCGTTTCATGGTCTCTTCCCCGGAACCGGCACTATTTGGCAGCCCCTTGCTGTTCCCTGCAGTGCCACTGGATATTCACAAGAACATGGGAACATGAGATTTAAGTTGGAGAGGGCCTCATAAGGCTCTGGATCTAGTTCTGTGCTAGTGCAAATAAATATTTCCTACGGTTCTGAGGCAGGTGACCTGCAAGGGTAAAGTCATGTTAGTAGGAACACGCCGATGTACATCAGTTGTGGATGTGCCTTTAAGAAGCGGAGAAAATTGAGATTTAAGATCAAAATAGCAAGTCCGTGGTACTTTCCTCTACTTAAAACAAAATCAATGACGAGAAACATACAGCTGGAAGGAAAGCTAGCTTGATACAATCAGAGTAAATTAGAAGTCCTTTAAGGCAATGGATGGTGTATTTTCTTCCTCAGAATTAGGCATTTCAAATATTGACAGACCTAGTAAGGCACAATCAATATATCAATTCCTTTGTGAACTATTAATTATATATATTGCTGATGAATAATCATTTAATTAGCATAAAGGGAGGCTTCAGTGAAAAGGCTGTCTACCAAGTGTACTGGACCTAAAAATAGCAATAGCTTTTCAACCGTGAGGCTTTGCATGAAAACGCTATTGCTCAACTTCTGGTCTTAACACTTGTTACATCGCTCGGCCAATACAGAGCTTTGCTAATAACATTCTTCCCCTTTATCAGAGCAGTGCTGCCATATATAATTTGTTCCTCTAAGGCATGGTGACAAGGGTTTGGTATGGATTACCTGAATCAGTTCATCAAGCTCTGTTGCATTCACACAGGAATGCTGAGATACAAACGTCTGCTTCTGAATCACAATGGTGGTTCTTTGGGAGGTCTCATGAGGCTGCTCCAAGGCTTTAAATACTGTTGCTCCAATTATTAAATACACGACTACCACCAGAAAAATTGTTGAGACTGTCTTCCATTTCATAACATTAATAGCCGAATCACTTTCCTCCCGCGAAGAGAGCACAGTAGGCTTGGTGGAAAATGATAATCTTGGTTTGGAGTTCTGAGTGGCCGATTTGGGATCCAGCAAGTCAGGTGCCGCCACTGGCAAAAAAGAAGAAAGTTAATTTTTACAGTGCCGCTCAGATTTCGTCAACTGAACTTCTTGCCAAGAGATTACAGATATTCTGTTGCTTCCAACTGGAATTCTTAAACTGTTGAATCTTTCACATAAACCCCATGCCACGTTACAATGAGGCTGCTGCTCTGAGGAGTATTATCCACTTTATACACGTTTGCAACATTTCCTATATGCATCTGTCCCCTTCTGATATTCGATCATTTCATAAACACAGATTTCCCCTACGCTCTTGCATTTAAATTAGTATAAAGTGGTATTTTGCTGCAGAGATTCTTTACATCTGCTGCTCTCTTAAGCACTGCTAAGCAGCTTTCCAGCTGTGTTTTACCTCAGCATTATAGAGGTAGCAGAAAAATACAAATCCCTCTTTCTTTCATCTGTTTTGTCCTGTGCTCCGACAAATGCTCCCTGAGAACAGTTGCATGATCACTTCCAAAACTCCCCAGACACAACCATAAAAACAACACATTGCTCATCATACCGGTCTCAAAATGTTAATTGCGTATCGATTACACCTTTCAGTGAATACCAGTAAAACATATGTGTACTTACTGGAAAAGTCACCCATTTGTTAAGGCATGTATTTTTATTTACAGCTCAAAAACCCACCGGGTTAGGAAAAGAGCAGCTGAGTGTATTATCAAGTATCTCGATAACTCATGTGACTCCCAGCAACTCCAGGGGCAAAAAAAAAACCCCCGCCACATCAAATGCAGGTAAAGGTCTCCTGTGGGAAGATGGCCACAGCAGGTGACCACACAAGCTATACTTAAATTGTTTTGAATTACGAGCACATTTTGAACGGCCACGATGCCGCTTCCAGCTGCCGGGGGGAAAAGCCCAGATCTAAACCTAGAGGAAAGTCTCCCTCCGGACGGCGGAGGTGGGACACGTCCCCAGCAGGGGTGGCGGTGGCGGTGGCACCTGGCAGGGTCACCTCCTGGGCACCCGCCGGGCTTGGGCACACACCTCGGCGCCGGGAGAAGGGGCCAGGCGGGAGAGAGGCCGCCCCT